ATATTAAATGAGATATAATCTAATTACGAGTTTAGAAGTTAGAAATTGAGAATAAAATCCAAGGAAAAGGAAGATTGAGATACCAACGGAGGGGTTCATGGTGCTTACCTCTTGGGACTCAGACAAAAAGGCATCTCATCCCCAAATGGAATTTGGGCTGGATGGTCCAGGGTCCTGGAGCACTGTTGTTAATTCCATTCCGTCTAATACAGATTGTGGGAACACAGCCTCACTTTTCACACATCCTAAATATGAAAATACTCAGGGAGAAGAAGACGTCATGATGTAGGTAATTTACTTTAAAATTCTTCACTAAAAACAAAATAACAAATATGGCAAAACGAGTTTAATCTATGTGTGTGGCTGAGTCTCTGACAGGGCCCCAAAGAGTCCTTCCTGGTCTTCAGGCCGATGTGCGACCCCCACCCTGACAGTGGGCCTGGACTCACCTCTAACAGACAGCAGGTCACAAAAGGTGGGGACTCCCGCTCTCACCCTCTCCCTCCTGCCTTGGGGGAGGCCGTGGGTGCTGGTGCAGGGGAGAGGCCACGGGACTGGCAGTGGAGGGTGTGGGGGCTAGGTGGAGGAAAGGGCAGGAAAGACCCTTCCAAGCCCAAATGCTTCTGGTCAAAGCACTCAGGCACTGCAGGGTGCCACGCAGTTGAAAAGGAAGCTCCTGAGGGAGGGTGCTTCCCTGCGTCCCAGTCCCCAGGGCTCTGCAGCAGCACCGGCACTGCCATGGGAAGATGAAATGGTCCTGATGCCTGGCCCAGCTCTGAGCCTGGTGCTGAGGACAGGCTGATTCCCCTCCTGAGCCTGCGCTCCCAGGAGGGCCCCTGCATGCCAGGCCTGTGCTTCAGCATGCGACCGCCTGTCTCCCTGAAAGATCCAATCTCTCTCTTTTTTTCGAGACCGAGTCTCGCTCTGTCACCCAGGCTGGAGTGCAGTGGCACGATCTCAGCTCACTGCAACCTCCGCCTCCCAGATTCACATGATTCATTGTTTTTTTTGTTTGTTTGTGTGTTTTTTGAGGCAGAGTCTCACTCCGTCACCCAGGCTGGAATGCCGGCTGCTTGCGGAGGTGATGTTCTGTCCACTATGTCGCTGCCTGGTGGCCAAAATGAGCATCTCAGACTGTGCTGGACTTTCTGAAGGGCCACACAACAGTTCAGGTTCACCATTTGATTTAAAGGAACATCAGCCGGACTCACACCGTTGCCTGTGAGGGTGCCTGCAGAGTCCCCCCGTGAATGAAAATGTCTGTGTAAGGACCCTTCGTAAAAGGTGTTCTCTGTACTTCCGGAAAGCCACCAGTACAAATGCACTCTACGTGCAGCAAAAATTACTAAATTACATAATACATCACAATCACGGAAAAACAAAAGCCTGGTGTATCCGTCAGCTCGGGCAGCCCTAACCAAATGCCGCAGGCTGGGAGTCCTGAGCCACAGAAATGTTTCCTCCCACGGCTCTGGAGACTGGAAGTCTGAAATCAAGGCGTCACCAGATTTGGGTTCCCCCGTGTCCTCCCTCATCAGCATGTAGATAGCTGTCTTCTCACTGTGCTCTTCCAAAAAGTAGAAAAAACAAGTATGCGTCAACAGATGACAAATAGACAAAACAAGGTGGATGCGTGTCGTGAAATATTTATTATTCAGTCACAAAAGGAGTGAAGCCCTGATGGGCGCTACAGCACGGAGGGACCTAAGACATTATGCTATGTGGCATAGGCCGGACGCAAAAGGAAAATACTGCATGATTCCCCTCACATGCAATCTCTAGATGAGGAAAATGTGTGGAGACAGACGGCAGCCCCGCCCAAGAAGCCAGGACGATGGAGAAAGGTGTTTCTCACTCCCCACAGGTGCCAGGGGCAGCCTGCTTGGACAGCCATCGCTTTCAAGTCCTCCTCAGAGAATCCCTTCACACCTAACTTGTTGCAGAGCATTTTCCTGCATGATGGATGTGCCGAGAACACTGCCGGGGCCTCCAGTCCTGGCACAGGTTCCGGTCCCACACACTCTATGAGCCAGAACATTCCACTGGAGTTTTGATGGGTGGGTCAGCTCCAGCCTTATCTGTTTACAGCTGATAAGGAGGAAAGAGGCCTTTCCTGGCAGGGACCCACCTCCACCCTTCCCGTGCTCCCGGCAACGCTTCCAGCTGGGCCTCTTGATGGCAAACAGGGCAGCTCCTCTGCAGTAAAATGCAAAACCCTTTTATAAGACCTTTGAGTCAACGCGGCAACCTGGGACCACAAAGCTTTGTGTGGAGAGCAAGTGACAGTCTGGCGAAAATAGGTCATCAGAAGCTTTATCGCCAGGCCGTCGGCCCTTCTCAGAGCCAACTGCAGAGCTTAAGCAAGCAGCTTAAGCATATCGCACTGCTATTTCTTGCCTCTCGGTTCTGTCTTGCTGGCAAGACATTTTTTTTCCTAGTTTCCACTTATAAAGTGCAGATTTTCAAAATCTTACTCTACATATGAAATGTCATGATGTATTGGAGTTTTTAAAACTTCAAGAAAAAAGTTAGGGAGGAAACAAATGAGATAAGATTGGCCAAGGCTGATACTGAATTGCTGAACCTGGGTTTATTGGCTCATTCTCCCAGCCTTTGTGTATGTTTGGAAATGTCCACTAAGGTAAAATTTAATAAATAAACTATGGGGGAAAGTTAGATTTTAGACGCTGCTTTTAAAGCTTTCGTATTGTCAGAGAAGTTTGGTTTCAACATCACTCTGTAAAGTGAACAGTTTTAAAACTTAATTAGACAAAAAATACAATCCTCTAGCTTATATACATCTTCATTTTAGTATACAAACAATTTAGCTCATGCAGAAGATTCTATTAATTTAAAGTCATAAAATGTACTTACTTTTACATATAATTAAATGATGTAATTAACCAGTAGTAACCATTGAGTTTAAAAGTGTATTTTTTGACCGGGTGCGATGGCTCACGCCTGTAATCCCAGCACTGTGGGAGGCTGAGGCAGGTGGATCACAAGGTCAGGAGATCAAGACCATCCCGGCTAACACGGTGAAACCCCGTCTCTACTAAAAATACAAAAAATTAGCCAGGCGTGGTGGTGGGCGCCTGTAGTCCCAGCTACTCAGGAGGCTGAGGCAGGAGAAAGGTGTGAACCCAGAAGGCGGAACTGGCAGTGAGCCGAGATCGCGCCACTACACTCCAGCCTGGGTGACAGTGAGAACTCCGTCTCAAAAAAAAAAAAGTGTACTTTTCACCGGGCACGGTGGGTTTGTCCCTGTAATCCCAACACTTTGGGAGGCAGAGGCAGGAGGATTGCTTAAGGCCAGAAGTTAGAGGACAGCCTGGGCAACATAGCAAGACCCTATCTCCACAAAATAAAAAAAAAAATTAGCTGGACATAGGGGCACGAGCCTGTAGTCCTAGCCATTCAGAGGCTGGGGTGGCAGGATCACTTGAGCCCAGGAGTTCGAGGATGTGGTGAGCTATGATCACTCACTGCACTCCAGCCTGGGAGACAGAGTGACACTTTGCCTCTAAAAAAAC